ACGTGAGGAGGGTTGGTCATGGAGATAAGAGAGGTTATTTATTTATTTATTTGAACACATGAATATTGGTACAAGAGAGCGCCTATATATATGCGCCACACAAAACAATGAGAATTCGAAGAGAAATAGAAAAAAAAACTAAGGAGCGCAAAAGAAAAAGAGAACAATAACGAAGAGATTGGTGTAAGGTAGTGTGGTAGTAATGAGGGAACGGAAAGGTACAATCAAAAGAAATCTTTCAGGTAGGGGAGACATTACCACTTTTTATGAAGAAAGTAAAAGAAGGTTACAGCAGAATCGCCACTGGCTTCTATTCTGAGCCATATCTGATAACGTCTCTAGCCACTGTGTAGCACCATCTCTCAGACCCCAACCAGGGAGTCGTGAAGGACCGACAGAAGCCAGTCCTTTGCAGCTTTCTTTCATACCACGACGCCATGTCATACACTGACCACCTCTCCGCTTCTTCAAACCAGTCCCAGAGTCGGCAAATAATGCACGACGTGGAATCCAGTCAGTCAGTCAGTCAGCTACAACGTAGGACCAGGAACATATGTGCATCGGTCCAGGTTGCCATACCGCATCAGCACAACAAGATGAACACCGGATTCATAGCAGTGGTTAGGTCAAAGGTAGTAATATGTAAGAGAAAGATTGCATATAGAGATATAGTACATGGAATCCTCTGGAACGACATTCGTAGAACGTGTCCAACCCACCGAAGTCGATGTTTCAAGATGGTGACACCAATTGCATTATCATCTCTGTGCCCGAACACGCGATGCAGAACCTCTGCATTACTAACGTGGTGTTGCCACTGGATGTCAACAATCCTTCGGAGACAACGATGATCGAACACGGAAATTCGTCTAACATCCTCAACTCAGAGAGGCCAGGTTTCACAAGCATAGAGCAGAACTGCTCTCACTGTTGCGTTGTAAATCCAACCTTTTACAGCCAGACTAACGTGACAAAGGCGCCGAAGATGGCCCAGATTGGCATAAGCCACTCTGGCTTTCACTATACGTGCATTGATCTCATCACTCACTCCACCATCAGCACTTATGCAGCTACCTAGATACACGAACATCTCGACTACTTCTATCTGCTCACCATCCAGGGTGAGTACATGATTAGAATCCTGCTAGTCTTGTAGAAGTACTTTGCACTTCGAAGGTGCAAAGCACATACCATACCTACGAAGACTGATTGCCAACTGATTAAGTGCGGATTGCATGCCTTGGGCATTATCGCACAGTAAGAAAATATCATCCGCACACTCAAGGTCAAGAAGTCTTTCTCCAGACAACAGATCCACACCACCATTACTTGCATCCATCAAAGCTGTTTCCAGAATGTCATCGATGGCAAAGTTGAAGAGGAATGGTGAGATTGGGCAACCCTGCCTAACCCCACTGCTCGAATGGAACAATGGAGAGAGGTGGTTGTATTCCCTCACTCTGTCTGAGGTGTTTGTATATAGGGCTTTTAGGATGTTAATAAACTTCTCAGGCACACCCTTATTCAATAGACAATCCTAGCGAACAGTTCTGTCAAACGGATCGAAGGCAGCCCTAATGTCAGGAAACACTACGATTGTTGGCCTTTGATAAGTATGGCGGTGTTCTAACATTTGGCGGAGGGTAAAGATATGATCAATACATCCTCGACCAGAACGAAAACAAGCCTGCTCCTCGCGAGTCAATCTTTCTCGGGTTTTGAACAGTCTACGAAGTATGATGGAAGCCAATAGCTTGGACGCAATCGGAAGTAGGGTTATCCCCCGATAGTTGTTACAGGAACGACGTGGACTCTTCAGAGATAAGGACAACTATCGACTCATTCCATGACGTTGGTACACTTTCTAGTTCCCAGACCTTTGTAAACAACGTCGTCAATTCCTTAGTCAGAAAGTCACCACCATCTTTAAAAAGAGCCGGAGGTAAGTCATCTGGGCCAGGTGATTTCTAGCGCTTCAAGAGTTGGAGTTCCTTGCGGACTTCCGCCTCATTTGGTGGACCATTCGTCGCCGGCCATGGAGGGCAGGACAGTCTGACCGATGTTGCCGGAGCAGCAGGCCAGTTGAACTGCCTTTCGAAAAATTCTGCCCATCGTCCAACACGTCGATGGATGTTAGTGATTGGCATCCCATCAACCTCGCAGATTGTTTCACTCACACCAGACTTCTTGCTGCCGTTGGCTCGGATGAGCTGAAAGAGCTTCCGATAGTTACCAGATGCAGCTGCTGCTTCCAGCTCATTAGCACGCATCGACCACCAGGCTTCTCGGTCCTTACGCAAGCTTTTCTCAATTTCATTACGTAACAACCTTCGTTTATGGTCAAACTCACGGTCACCCGGAGAAGACCGACGGACTTTAATGAGTTGTAAGGAACCAGAAGAAACCCAGTGCCTAAAAGCGGGACGTTTCGCAAACCCACAACTGACTGTTCCCACCATTTTCATGGCATCATGCAATTGCAACCAATGCTCATCTATACTTTTCGGCGGAGTGGTAGCCAGCCTACAAACTAGCTCGGTTCGATACTTACTTGCAACAGAAGTTGCAACCAGCTTGCTAATATCAATCCGTTGATGGCGGTCACTTCGTTGTCCACTGAAAAGTAAGGCAAGATTGGCGCAGACCAAGGCATGGTCAGAGTCCAGACAGGTACTCCAAAAGGAGCATCAGTCTTGTACACAACCACGCCAGCGGTAGCTGATCGCGATGTGATCAATCTGAGTCCAGCCTTGAGATGCAGAGGGAGGACGCCAGGTGGCACATCGGCGATGACTGTGCCGAAAGTTAGTGCTAGCCAGAAACAGGTTGTGGTCTGTGCAAAGTTGCAGTAGACGGTCCCCGTTATCTGACCTGCGACCAACGAGTCCCCATCGGCCACCTAAACGACTCTCTTCTGTGCCTAGACGCCCGACCTGAGCATTCAAGTCTCCGGCTAGTACTACAATATCTGTCGAACGCACTTTCTGGAGAAGAACAGATAACTGGTGGTAAAACACATCCTTGGTGGCATTCGGGCTGCAATCTGTCGGGGCATAGGCGGAGATGACGAAAAGACATCGTTTCTCACGCCGATTTCTTCTCACTTTGATGGAACGCCCTAACCTAACAGCACATAACCGACTGTTAATGGGGATCCAATCGACTAGTGCTGCCTCAGCTCTAGCGCTTAGTGCGACACCAATGCCAGGAAGACCAGACGAAGATGCCACAGGGTCCCCGGATAAGCGCACGTAAAACAAGCTTTTCGAAGCGATAGATGGAGATCGAATTTGTAGTACTTCACCAGAGTCTTGAATACGGGTCTCGGATAGACAACAAACATCAATATTAAGACTTTCCAAAGACATAGCCAGCCCTATCTGTTGTCCGACCTGCATAAGTGTGTGAACGTTGAAGGCAGCCAGTTTAAATGGTCCACGTGCACGATGCTTCTTGTGGCCCAAACGCTCATGACATGTTGAAGTGATTGCCTCCCTGATCCCCTTCCAGTTGTTCTCCATAGTGGTTTCCTCTCCACTGAGTAGATCGTGAAAGGCCTGCGACCTATTGCTGATGGCTATCTTGAATTCGTTGTCAGTTATGACGTAGGACCAGGCACATGTACATCGGTCCAAGTTGCCATACCTGATTAGCACAACAAGGTGAACGCCGAATTCATAAAAGTAGTAACTTCAATGGTAGCAATGTATAAAAGTTTTGTATAATGATATAGTACAGGAAGAAAGAATTATTTAGTAGAAAGAAAGATATGAAGCGATTTTAATCTCATTGTTTAAGGGAAGACAGAAAGCGAATACACCGACGCCATTGTGATCGATTCTGAGCCATGTCGCCCAGAATTTATCAGTATCCCGAAGAAAGACCGTATGAACGTTTCATGATGTTGTGCGCCCTGTTGTCCAGTGCTTCTTGGACTGGCGGTAACCCCAGAAATGCTCCAGGCGGACTAATAAGTGGGACAAGTCTGGTTGCTGTTAAGTGTGCGAACAACATCCTCACTTTTATATCCATTTCTGTATCCATTCACTAAAGTTGCAACAATTTTCATCATTTTGGTCTGACATTCTAATTTGTCTCAAACCACCACCCATTTTAACAGTTAGCAGTGGTAACTTGGCGCACTAAGTACCCCCTACCTATATCTATATACAGCCTGCGATTATTTCCGGCTTATACCAAGAAATTTTAGCCCAAAATTCGATCACTGTATTTACACACCACAAATGTGAGCAGGGTGACAATTGCTTTTTAATCTACAAGCAATCAACTTGTAGCACGATGAAATGTGATCATGATTAACTGGTAACAAATATTAGTTCGGGAAATTAAGATGGCCTTTTACAAAGAATATATACCACACAACTCAGTATGCATTATTTTAGACTATTTATTTCTAGCTTCTTGATTGTGCAGTCGCATTACTTTAGTCTCTTATGTCACAAATATCAGAGATTTCTAGTCACTGAGTTATATGATCTACCTTTTAGTCAACAGTCTTGGATCAAGACTGAGCTTTAAACGCTTGGACTGTTTCACTGAACGGCGCCAAAATGCCCTGGTACGGCCGAGGGTGGAAAGAGTTCTCTCTCCCTCTCGAAATGCCCTCACATGGCCACACGTATACAGCCACTGCCAGAGAAGTCCTTATCGCAGCGGGGTTGTTGTTTACGAAATTAAGAGGACGAAAAGCGAATGTCCGGTACTTTAACCAGGTTGGTGGATATGGAGGATACACCTTAGGAAGTTGGAAAACCCTGATTCCAAACCAATGGTGCACTTGGGCTCCAGGATCCTGCCCACACACAAATTAAGTGACTTGTGTGGCGCATATGTATTCGGTGCCTCTTTGTACCAATATTTATGTGTTCACATGAATAAAACATAAATTCACTGAACTTTTGTTCTGTAGGTGATGTACACCTGTTTCTTATACAATAGTTTCTTTGATATTACCGTTCGCTTTTATTCTTGATCTTTAGGTTGTTTATTTTATCTTTCGGCAAACTGGTTGGCACCCGAATTTACAGTCACTCATCACACACTGCACAATGGACGAAGAAGAACTTTCTTTTATACCCTACAGCACATCTTACGTGTATGTTTCGGCTAGTTATGTGTAAAATTGATAATGTAGTTTTATATATATATATATATATATATATATATATATATATATATATAATACGTGCTTATAGCTGCAGTACCATCGTTTAATGGCCAATCGTAGCATGAGCTAAATCGTACTGAAACGGTCTCTAGGTTAATTACAATTAACTTGAGAAGTATAAACTAACGTATTATTAAATGAAGTAAACACCTATGGCTTTCATTCGAAACTACTTTTTTATATTGCATCTAAAATACTTGTGTATTATTGTTTTAAATCCATTATTTAAAAAAAAATTTAGGTGGAAGCCCCCAATAAAACTATCTGATTGCTCGTCTGAATATCTCCAAAATTGTCCTGTTGACTACAGTCTTTTGGAAAACCCCTTTGCTTCCAAACCAGACGTGTATAATGCCGAACAGGAAGCAAAATTATGGCAAGGATTGGGTATATTAACAACCAGTACTAGTGTGGTCGATGGTGAGAAGCCGCCGAGTGAGGTTAGCTGATTAAACGTTTGGTTTTATGAAGTTATTACTATTTGTGTTGGTATGGATCCTTATGGGTGAAATTGGGTAAAACAATATCCTCCGTATTCGATTGTGCTTTCATTCATCTTATAGTATCTGATTAACCTGTTTACTCTACTTCTATGTGATCTAGTATTATTACTGACAGGATCAGTAATTGTTCTCTGCTTTATTTGTTAGTACGTTACTAGCATTAATATATTCCGGTTGGGATTCAGAACTGACTTGAAATAGTGAAACAATTTATCGTCCTTTGCGAATCATTAGTAACATGTACTAATTGTGGTTGCAATTTAATAGTTGTGAAACGGTGGCTAGAAAATGTAACCTTCAATCAATAAATCACAAGTTCAAACCTCGTAAATACTTCGGTCTGTGTAGCTAGTAATGTCAGCACTTTTCATTAGAAAGTGTGACTCCTAGCTGAGTACTTGAACCTGTACTTGATAAATGAGCTGTATTTGTAGCCATTTGACCTACTCTTCTCTTAGGAGATATATGTTCATCAGTTAAATCATTCCTTGAAGAATAAATCGGTTACTCAATATATATATCTTTTGATTATTGTATTCTCTTTAATATTTTTCTTGTTTTGATTTTATGTTTTTGTAAAATTGCATTCTAATTTTGTGTGACGCATTTGTTGGTTCCTTAATAACTTGAAATAACGAAATTATTACTGTTTTTCTTTCTGGAAAGAATCCTTATTACCTAACAGCAGTACCTGGTCTCCACAGCAAGCGGGAATTGAAACGAATTCGTCGAGTGAGTTCTGACACTTTTTAAAGTCGTAAGTCCGATTTTCTGTACAAGCGTATGTATTTTAGCCTTCTTTCACCCTCGTCTGCTGATAAGTTACTCATGTAATTATAAATGCTATTTCACGAAGGCTTATCTTAAAAGACAACTGAATCATGATGAGGTCTTGGTGACTGAGTAGTGTATGAAAGTTACAGTTCAGTCAGTAACAACGTAGAACTTCGTACGTACGTACGTACGTACATCAGTTCGAGTTGCCACACCACATTAGCACAGAGATGCAGTTGTCGATTCAAATCCCGTAGTGGTAGAGGTAACAAGAATATAAGCAGTAATCGGGAAGATTAGGGTTTGGAGATGTTATTTAAAGAGTATAATCCAGTGAAATAAATTTGGAAAGAGGAAAAAAGGGACATGAAGAATTCAGAAGATTAGAATTTGGGAGAACACAAAGAGTGGATGCACCTGCGCCATTGCAAACGATTTTGTGCCATGTCATTCAGGGTCTCTAACCATCGGTTGCTATCATCTCGCGGTCCCCAACCAGGTAGTCTACACCTACAAACATGACTCAGTTCACTTGTCAGTGACTTCATGGATTTGTGCCATGTTTTGGTCTGGCCGCCCCTAGCTTTCTTCCAACCTACTCCTATAACATTGAACATAGCACGTCGAGGCAGTCGGTCGTTGGGCATACGTTACACGTGTCCCAGCCATCTCAACTGATGAAGTTTCACTACTTCATCAATTGATTTGCCATCCTTACCTAGTACCCGTTTCCTAAAAATTGTGTTACTTACTCGATGGTCCCATGATATACGAGCAATGTTTCGAAGACACCTATGATCGAATACTAGTAACCTACGAATATCCTCTACTCTTACCGGCCATGTTTCACTGCCATAAAGTAGGACGGAACGAACTGCTGCGCAGTAAAAACGTCCTTTGGTTGATAGACGGATATCTCGCCTACGCCATAAATGACGCAAGTTGGCAAAAGTTACAGTTACCTGAATTGAAATCACCACGTACGATTCAAAGATAACCAATGAGGACAGTGACATCAAATCCAGTGCACTAGTCAGCAAAAAAAATTCATATATACATCGAATGGAATTATGAACATCAGGTGGTTGATGTAATCATTTAAAAACCTAAAACGCATATAGTTAAACTCACCTCAGATCATATTTACGAGCGTAGCAACACTAACACTGCACTTTGTATTTTTCAGGATTGAAATTCAGACGGCAAATCTTGAAACTATGTAGTAATGCCAAATTATCATCATAGAAATCATGTAACCAAGATCCTTGAATTATATTCACATAACAGTTACAGTACATAGTTATGCATATAAAGATTGGAGATAATTCACTCCTACTAGTTGTTTTCTATCAAAAACTATTTCAGGTGCAGATATTCATTCCTTTTAGTGTATGTCTCCAGCCACTAGGAAACTTCTTGAACTTTAAGTATTTAGCATGTCGGTTAGTTGTGTTGTATCTCTTCTAGGGCTACTGCAGGTCTCAATCCCCGGTAAAGGATGAGGGTTGGGCATGGGGTCAGCATTGCCATCCCGTAGAAAACAACCTTGCTATAAACAGGCTAACCAAAATAAACAAATCAAATCATTTAAACTCTGCCCTCAGAGTTGAAGGAGGAATTATGATGCCTCATGGTGAAAACCGATATTTCTCAGTAGTCACAAGGCCGATACGTTTTCTAACAACCAGAGCAACAATTAGTATAGGTACATGGAATGTCCGGACAATATGAGAGACCGGAAGGATTAACCAAATATCTGGGGAAGTGAGGAGATAAGACTTGAAGGTGTTCGAAATCAGTGAAACCCGTTGGACCCAAGCTGGGCAGAAAATGATAGGTTCAGGAGAGATGCTACTGTGCCGTAGTCACGAAGAAGAAAATGCTCCGCACACTCGCGGAGTTGCTTTGATGCTGTCCAAAGGAGCATGTAAAGCACTTATAGGATGAGAATCTCGTAGACCCAGGATCATCAAAACATCTTTCAAAACAAATGAGGGAATCACAATGAATGTTATCCAACGTTATGCACCCACCAATGATAGCAACGACAACGATAAAGATCAGTTTTACGAGAGGCTGTAATCTCATAGCAAATTGACACAATGGAGAAACCGACAGGTAAATATAGTAAACAAGAGAGACCAGTCTAGAACAAAGAAGGAAGGCCAATCACTGAAACTGAAGAACAGATGAATAGATGGGTAGAACACTTTGAGGAGCTGAACTGGATGAAAGATTCAGTGACACCGTACTTCGAGATCAACAGACCGAATTCCTTAAGGATCGGTTGTGCACAGACCGAATCACGACATTATGGATCATTGTTGAACAATCAACTAAATGAAACTCGTCACTATACATCAGATTCCTTGACTATGAGAAGGTGTTTGACAACGTGGAAAGGATGATATTATGGAAAATCGTCAACATCATTAGGAATTCATACGACGGACTACACTGCAAAGTGGTGCGTGAGAGATAGCTGACAGACGCATTCCGAGTAAGGACCGGAGTCAGACAAGACCGCTCACTCTTCCTCTTTGTTGTGGTGGTTGATTTAATTATGAACACTTTGACATCTGTGGGGAAGAACGGAATACAATGGACAACTTGGATAGAAGTAGACAATTCGGACTTGTCGAATGACTCAACCCTTCCATCCCATACATACGAGCAAGTGCAGGTCAAGATAACCATTATGGGAGAGGCCGCTCCATCAGTAAGCCTAAACACACACAAGGGAAAAAGCAAGATCCTTAAATACAACATGGAGAACAACAACCCAATCACACTTGATGAAGAAGTTCTGGAAGAGGTAGAAACCCTTACATATCTAGACAGCATCACCGATGGACAAGGAGGATCTGATTCAGACCTAAAATCAAGGATTGGCAACACAGCTGTCAGCCAACATCAAAATCAGAATCTTCAATGCGGACATGAAGACAGTTCTACTGTACTGGGCTGAATCTTGGAGAACTATCACCACCATCATAAAAAAATCGCGAGTATTTATAAATAATTGTCTACACGGGATACTGAATGACCGTTTGCCGGATACCATCAGCAACAGTCTACTGTTGGAGAGAACAAACCAGCTGAAGAGAAAATTAGAAAAAGGCGACGGAGGTGGATAGGACATACATTGTGGAAATTATCAGACTGTATGGCGAGATAGGCGCTAACTTTGGATCTCGAAGGGAAGCGGAAAAGAGGAAGATAAAAAAACACTAAGTTGAGAATTGGAAGCAGACCTTAAAAGGATAGATAGCAGCTGGAAACAACTGGAATGGATTGCCTAGGGTAGAGTTCGATGAAGAATTATTATGGGTGGCTGGTTTTCATTCACGAAGGGTAACAGGTTTAAGTAAAAATTAGGTATTGGTAAGTGGTACGGTTGTCTCACACAATTGGTTTTTAAAGCAGACACAGTAGGCATGCAATTTGTTGGAATATTTAGGTAACTTACCAAATAAGTAGCTCTACTTTGCAAGCGAAACAGTAAGTTGTTAGTCGTCAGTAAAACGGCCGTTATTTCCGTTAAAATAATGTTTTACGTTTGTCAGGCGTTAAATTACACCTGTTTTGATTTTTGTCTGTAGGCTGAACGCAAAAGCAAACTGTCAAACTGGTTTGATCTTCCGAGACCTGATGTCACTGAAGAAGATCGTGATGATTTAGAATTAATTAGATTACGTCGCGCTATTTCATCAGATACACACGTGAGAAGATCGGATGGGAAGTCTGCTTACTTCCAGGTAAATCATTGTGGATTTATGCTATTTCGGTATGATATTTATTTATTTTTAGCTTCTTATTGCTGCGATATTTTTATACACCCAAGTCATATTTTTTTAAAGTCATAAAAATATAAGCAGTTGTTCCTTCAAGGTGTTGTTGTATCAACCTTGTATAAATTAGTGTGTTGGTAATTTTTTATTTCTGGATTCGAGCTATATAAATCTACTGTTAAATTAACAGGCATATAAAGATTTCAAAAAAAGCATCAATAAATAAATCCCTTACTATTCAACATGTACGTAAAGATGTACAATATAATATTATAAACATTCTGTTTTCAACTATCAGGTTCTTGGTCTAAATCTCTCTCTCTCTCTCTCTATCTACTTGGGTTATGGCAGATAAGCATTAGCTCTAGGCTTCACACATAACTCCCAAACCACAATCCTTTATTTGGTTAATGAGTTTTAATACTTATTTATTTTATTTCCTTCCGTTTGTAGGTAGTAGTTGACTCATTTCAAATCATTTTGTCTGCTATCTGTTTTAAAAAATTTGTGTTGAAACTTACTATTTCATTGAAGGATCTTTCTTCCAACCGTTGTACAGACATTTGAACTTTTTAGTTCTTAAGTTTTCGTTACTATCTCGTTTTCTACATAATTTATTCATGAGGATTACTAACTCTGACCTCAAAGTTTTGTTTCCGTGTTAGAATGCCGTGTGTGTTTTCACATAAAACACTGTTTTGTTAATGCTAAGTAAACGACAACTTTTTATAGGGTTATTTAAATTTCGCGTATTGTTGGGTGTAGGCTTTAAATAACATGATTAAATCCACCTCTACATATTTACTGTTATCTGTCTGTGTATATAGTTTTTCCTTCTGTGATATCTTATTATTTTTATAATGCTTGACTGATTAAATTCCATGCGGATTTAGTTGAACTAGTTACTAAGTATTATCTTAATTACCTTGTAAGAAACAAATCACGTTATCTTAACTGTCTTCTCTCCCTTTAATAATTTGTTTTAGAGAGGTGTAGTTGTAGATGATCCTGGAAGCTTCTACGATAGACTGCCGCGAAAACAAAGAGGTAAAACACTTGTAGATGAGCTTCTAGCTAACGCTGAAATTATGAAGTAAGTTTAGTTTGCTTTTGTGTTTGTTGTCGAATACTTGATTGATAGTGTATTGCTTTATCTAAGGAAGTTACTTATGAATAACTCAGGAAATATTTCGTAATCATTTACACAACTTACCTCTTAGTAGCATAAAATGTATATCTCATTATTGACTTCCAATGGAGCATAGGTCACCGACCAGTAATCTTCAACTCACTCTGTCCTGGGCCTTCCTTTCCAGTTCTATCCAATTCTTGTTCATTTTTCTCATGTCTGTCTCCATTTCTCGGTGTAATATGGTCCTTGGTCTTCCACTTTTCCTTTGACCTTGAGGATTCCAAGTGTGGTCTTGTCTTGTGACGCAGTTGGGTGATTTCTTCAATGTGCGTCCTATCCACTCCCAGCACTTCTTCCTTATTTCTTCCTCCTCTGGGATCTGGTTTGTTCTCTCCCACAATAGGTCGTTGCTGATAGTGTCTGGTCAACGGATCCGAAGTATTTTGCGTAGATTGCTCTTAATAAACACTTGTATCTTCTGGGTGATGGCTTTCTTAGTTCTTCAGGTTTCCACCCCAGTAGACAGTAGAACTGTTTTGACATTTGTATTGAAAATTCTGACTTTGGTGTTGGTTGACAGTTGTTTTGAGTTCCACATATTCGTCAATTGTAGATATGCTGCTCTTGACTTACCGACCCGTGCCTTCACATCTGCATCAGATCCACCGAGTTCATCAATGATCCTGCCCAGATATGTAAAGGTTTTTACGTTTTCTAAATCTTCTCCATCAAGTGTGATTCGATTGGTGCATACTGTGTTGTATCGGAGAATCTTGCTTTTCCCTTTGTGTATGTTGAGACCTACTGCTGGAGCATCTGCAGCAGCACTGGTCTTCTCCTGCATTTGTTGTTATGTGTGCGATAGAAGAGCCAGATCATCTGCGAGGTCTTGGTCGTCCAACTGCATCCTAGCTATCCACAGTATCCTATGCTTCCCCTCAGACGTTGACGTATTCATGATCCAGTCGATCACCAGGAGAAGGGAAAGGGTGAGAGTGAGCAACCTTGTTTGACACCGGACCAATAAAGACTCTAGACTGCTCGTACTTGTTTTATGCATCATTGGTCCGGTCGATAATTCACTATTCTCTAATTGATGGTATCATTACGTCATACATTAATATGATTCAGGGCACAAGTTATAACGTAGAACACGAATCTCAGCCTCCGCGATATGAATCATGTATTTCAAACATACTGGGTTTATATATCAGCCAACCAGACCACATCGTACCATAAAGTAGAAAATAACATTTGTACAAGATTCAGCCATATGTGGTTGTGAATGTGGGAGATAGTAATTGATAGATAGGGCATAAATCAAGAATGGTAAATCGTATAATAATAGTTCATAGGTCAAAATAAAGTTTATGATAAGAGGAACACGAATATGAGTAGTTTAGTTACTTGACAATTATACGATAAAAATATATGTATAGTATTAGTCCAGAAATAGACTCCAACAGTTAGCAATCATTATTCTCGTCGGGATATATCAGTTGAAGTGTATGGGGAATGATTCTAGGTTTTTAAGTTTGGTTACGAATCTTTATAAATAAAAAGAGAGCATACTTCCTCACATTAATTACTTTGATTCGTAGTTTAGTAATAAAGATATTTCTCTTAACCTACCAGAAATAATTTCACGATGCATAGTGATCTTTCTGGTAGTAGTTTTGTTGGAGAGGAACTCTTGGAAAATACGTTTATGCGAGTTTTGCTACTCTTTATATTTAGTAACTGTTGATTATCTTTGAGTTTCAAAACAATTTTATGTCATCAGTAGGCTTATCTGGGACCTTAGAAAGTGAAGTAGTTGATTGTTTCTACTGTTTCATCTCCTCGGTCAGTTAATGCCATCATGTTTTAAATACCATCGATATAAGTTCTTGACACTGGTAGATCACCTGTACTGTTAAGTTATCCATCTAGCCAGATGTACGATTTTAACTCATCACTGTTACGTTTGAATACCCAAAGCCTTTGGTGGTATATTCTTAAATAGATAATTTAAGGAGTATGCATGAGGTTATGGGGAATACAGTAGATGATAATGCATAATAATTAAGATGCTTCAGTTAAATTCTACATATATTTATTATTCTGTTCGACCATCACTAAAAATGAAAATCAACAATGGCTCTCACGTAAGCTACCGAAATATGCTGAGGTGTGAATAACTATTAACTATTTTCAAGCATTTAGATATCTCCGTTTACAAACCGATAGTGCGTCGTTTACTGCCTGAAAACTATTGCAAAGAGTGCGTTTCTTGCATCTTCTTGATTCTCATTGTTTTTATTCGGGGTACATGACTCAATATTTCTAGTCATATTAGTTAGTGAAGGGTAATGTTTACCTATTTATTGTCACAATTTTTCTAGGGCTCAACGGAAACGATATGCCAAGATTGCACGTGCTATGGCTGAAAAACGGGCTGCTATCAAAAGAAAAGAGCAACAACAAATGAAGCGCTTAAAAACTGGTCGTAAAAAACAACAAGCAACAGTTGTTGTTCGTGAATGATTCATTTGTGATTAAGCCTACAGTTTGTACATATATTTGTGGATTAAATCGCGTTCAGTTGTATCTTTCCATGTTTTTAGAATCAGGGTATTCCAGAACATCTTCAGTTATAATTATTCTCGTACATAAGAGTACTGAAAGTACTGATTATATCTGTCGTGAGTCTAATTTGACTTCAAATTTACATTATGCTGAAGAATAATGTGTAGACTCACGTACATCAAAATAAGACTCACATTTATTGTACAAGGGTAAGCCTAAATATCTAGCATTTTGAACATAAAACTGCGTAATTGATAATTCGAAGTAGGAATAAATAAACGTCCATGAATTAGCAAAATTGATAACTATGTTTTCAGAGTCACTCTATTTTCATGGTCTTCTATGTACTTGAATTCACTGAAACATTCGATTACATAAGAGCGATTCATATACCTAGTCAATAAGACAGATTATCCTGTATATATCTTATGGCCATTCTACATCTGTAAGTTACGGTAATAATAAACTAATCGCTCATTAGATACTAATTTCGTTTGCACACAGCTGTCATTTTAGTTGCAGGTTAGGTAATGAAAATGAAATACCTTGTTTATGAGCAAAAGCTGTTTATGACAATATTTTGAAGACTATCCTTTCTAGTCGAATTAGACTCAAGCAATTCATAAGATACGGTGAAACTGTTGACGCAGGGTTCTGTGGACTCCTTAATTTAAATGAAAATTTTCAACGATCTGACCGATGCCAATTTATCTAAACATGATAGATGCGAAAAGGGTTTTACGTTAAGTTTCATAAACTTCAAGTAAGAATGATATGTTTTCCTGTTTAAAATTGTGAAGTTGTCCCGTTTTATCCGAGTTATTAGTGGGTAATCTAGCATTGTTCGTACTACTGACTACTGTGATCATCATCTTGAGTTACGAATGGTCGATATAATGTTTCAACTGACATGGTAGTTTGAAAATGTTATCTACAGTATTTTATTTCTTTGTGTGATTGATATAAGATCAGCTATGAATTGCACACATGGATTGTTTCCTATTTAGGTTTTTTGCATAGGATTTAGGCAAAAACTAAATACACATACTGCTGACCCTTCATTTAATGTGCGTGATGTGTCACGTGATAGCGTATCCATCCATATGAAGAATATTCACTTAATGTTTATTAGCATTCTGTGTTGTATTACTTAATCCAAAGCAAGTGTGTATTCAATCATTACGTATAGTGTAAGTGTATGGCGCTCCTAAAATCTCCCATTTGTATGTGCCCCTATTGAATGTATTATCACTGTTATTCGCGTCTGAATTGGAAGAGGGAGGAATCAAAGTCGAGTGGAATCGGATTTGATCTACTTAAAAAGTGGAAATGCATTTACTGAGCTTTGTTTTAAGAGACATCTGATCAATTATTCGGTTTGTTTCAAATGCATGGTCAGATTCGTCCATTCACCATACTACTTTTGAGAATATTGTGTACTTAAAGTAGTTTATTCATATCACAAAAAACTAAAATTCATCACCAAGCATTTGGACGACTCCCTATCCCGAAGCCTCCAATCTGCTTGGGTTCAATAAAAAGGAAAGCGTTTCCTAAGTCCTCGCATAGTACATACACCACTTTCTAATGACTTTTTGTGTTCCTATCTTTCGGGTGGCATTGGTGATCCGTTTAACTGTGAATGACAGAAAACTCGTTTAACAATTCGAAAGAGCAGTTGTTACACGATTGTTATGGATACTTGTTTCTACAGTAAATAATGACAAAAATATATGTAGTTTTTTGGGAAAATAATACAGAGCAAAATTAAAGCACAATAGTTCTCTGTTATTGAAAAAGGTAAAAATGAGTAGTGTCAAAATAAGTGAATGAAACCACATAATATAAGATAGCCTTGTGTCAAAATATTGACAATCAGTAGTTAACAGCTTTTCTCTTCTTCGTACAGATTTTTAATAGTATTTGCAAAATGTTTTCGTAGATTTATCCTTGCAGGTTTCATTGTTGGAGTTAACCATCCATTGTCTACTGTGAACGGTTCTGGTGTTAAGTAGATATTGCGGGCCTGTATTTAAGGGTAAAACATTTAAGAATTATATATTTATAATTACATTTTTCAGCACCAACATCACTTGTTTTGATTGGCGATTACGTCACTTTAAAAAGTGCTTAATGGTTGACAGTTTCATTCAGAAACTGATAATTGGCGTTTATATGTGCGACTGAAGCTCACTGTTTATGAAAAAATAAGACGAAAATCATTTAACCTTCTGAGCATTAGTTTGAATGAAAACCACACCCGATACTTTCATCCTGTAGTTGTCTTGGACGTTAAGTCTTATGTCCCGACTGTTGCTGCTATCTTGACGTGATGGTCGGGCTATACCGCCTGAAGCATTCGTTCTTTGAGGTCCTAGTATGTCAAGCAAATCAGTTGAAAAACGGTTAGGCTAAAGGCAGTGAACCCAAGGTCATAGGTCGAAGTCGTACTGCTGACTGTACAGAGATGTGACGGCTGTAAGGTGTTTCCCTCGGACAACCAGCACGACAGCGATGCTGCCTTCTCACAAAGGAAGGGTGTGGTTAGAAAAGGTCAAACCTAAAAATGCACAACTCGTCTTATCCCATGAATTTCCATCCTCGACGGTAAAGTCTCAACAGATACGGAGCTAACACGAAAATTACCCACACAAACGTCGTGTGTGGTCTGCCTCAAGCAGTTGTCCCTTGGGAATTGCAGTCAGGTCCTCAGGCCACAAAGACCAACTCTAACTCCATTTCCTTTTCGAGTACCTCTATATGAACTTTTCCACGAAGTGGGCGACCGGGAAGTCATAGATGCTCTAATACCTCTAACAGCATTCAAAACCACTGTATTCATAATCAATTTCAATTTATCAGGGGACCCTGTGGCATCTTCATCTGGTCTTGCTGTCATTGGTGTCGCACTAAGCGCTAGAGCTGAGGCAGCACTAATCGACTGGATCCCCATTAACAGTCGGTTATGTGCTGTTAGATTAGAGAGTTCCATCAAAGTGAGAAGAAATCGGCGTGAGAAACGATGTCTTTTCGTCATCTCCGCCTATGCCCCGACAGATTGCAGCCCGGATGCAATCAAGGATGAGTTTTACCACCAGTTATCTGTTCTTCTCCAGAAAGTGCGTTCGACAGATATTGTAGTACTAGCCGGAGACTTGGATGCTCAGGTCGGGCAACTAGGCACAGAAGAGAGTCGTTTAGGTGGCCGATGGGGACTCGTTGGTCGCAGGTCAGATAACGGGGACCGTCTACTGCAACTTTGCACAGATCACAACCTGTTTCTGGCTAGCACTAACTTTCGGCACAGTCATCGCCGATGTGCCACCTGGCATCCTTCCTCTACATTTCAAGCCTGGACTCAGATTGGTCACATCGCGATCAGCTACCGCTGGCGTGGTTGTGTACAAGACTGATGCTCCTTTTGGAGTACCTGTCTGGACTCTGACCATGCCTTGGTCTGCGCCAATCTTGCCTTACTTTTCAGTGGACAACGAAGTGACCGCCATCAACGGATTGATATTAGCAAGCTGGTTGCAACTTCTGTTGCAAGTAAGTATCGAACCGAGCTAGTTTGTGGGCTGGCTACCACTCCGCCGAAAAGTATAGATGAGCATTGGTTGCAGTTGCATGACGCCATGAAAATGGCGAGTAATGCCGTTTGCGAAACGTCCCGCTTATAGGCACGACTCCCTGGGTGGGGTCCGAGGGATGGTGCAACACAGTGGTTTGAAACGTGATCGGACATGACTCAGAATAAAAGCCAGTGGCGATCCTTCTGTAACCTTCTTTTACTTCCTTCATAAAAAATGGTTGTATCTCCCTTAACTGAAAGATTGCTTCCGATTTCACCTTTCCATTTTCTTCATTATTACTATTATTATTATTTTTATTACTATTTCACTACCTTACACTAATCTGTTCGTTATTGTTCTTCATCTACGCTCCTCACTTTTTTTCTCTTCGAATTCTCATTGTTTTGTATAGCGCGTATATATTTGGTGCCCTCTTGTACCAATAATTTCGTGTTCAAATAAATATTAAATAAATCCTGTGTGAAATCGGTCGGCAAGCCCCCTTGACTAAGATTCTAAAATCTCGTACGATTGATGTGTTCTGTCTTCGAAACACACATACAAGATCCTAGTGTAGTCATTTACTTGACTTCATCTAGCCAAAGTGGGGAGCCGACGAGACACATCCTCCGTCTGTCTGGCGATCCGATGGCAAGTTCTTGTGGACGGACGGAGATAGACATAGCACTAAGTTTGATGGAAGATTAACTTTTAGAATGGATCTCCGTTAACAGTTGCTTATGTGCTGGTCGCATTAATGGCCCCCTAAGAACTCGTCATTCCTGCCTACGCTCCCATCGACCGCAGCACGGATGAAGTGAAGAATGGATGCTACACAATGAAGAGCGAAAACAAATGAGGTCTAAATTTATTAAAAGTCTAAGGAGCGATCGCAAACAGTGGTGGACGACGAAAACAAAACAGATGGAAAAATCAACGGCTGTAGGTAACCGCAATTAAGAATTCAAGTGTGAGATAATCCCGGAAAAAGTCGGCATTCTTATCTGCTCTCTCCAGACGTTTGGGACGATGAGTGCAGCAGTTCAGCTGCTCTACAGCTAACCGCCATATCCAAATAGCCTGAATGTAACATTGAAGTAGGCCTCCGACTCAAATTGAAATTCATAAAGCTATAGCTGATCTGAAGCAAGGTAGAGCAGCTGGTCCAAATGGATCGACTCTAGAGATCTTTAAGGATGGCGATCTAGATTTAGCGATTAAGTTGATTGAACGTTTAGCTAAAATCCGGGAGTTGAACGTAATCGTATATATCATACACATAGTTCCCTTTATCATTTTAAAAAGAGCAAGAACAAGCAATTCATGTTATTCTGCTAGAACCTTTGTTCTTGCTCTTTTCGTAATCGTATATAACTGGTCGCCATCACTGATCGTTCCAATAAATAAGAAACGATCAAAATCATCCTTTGATGACCATATAGGATTTA